CTGTGAATGAATTAGCGACCTAAAAAAGAAGAATGAATAAAGGATAGAAAGAGCATTAAAAAAAGTGGATGGTGAGAAGATGAGTGTGGAAAGATTGAACCTTGAAACGCAAAAGAAATTATTGGAAAATGAGTTAGATTGAAAATATTGGGGTGGATGAAGATTGGAAGAATGAAACAGATCAGGTGAGAAGAAAGACTGAAAAGACTAGGAAAAAAGGAGAAGAGAGAGATGAAGAGAGAGAGAGATAGAGAGAGAAAAGAAAGAAAAAGGAAAAGAAGGGAAAACATAAAAGAGAAGGTGAGAGGGAGAGAGAGAGAGAGAATAAGGAAAAAAGAAATTTTACAAAAAGAATAGAAATGAAAAAGAAAAGATATATACCTCCGAGATAGGTGAAAAGTAGAAAAAGAGAGAGAGAAAGAAAGATAGAGAAAAAGAAAGAGGTGAAGAGTAAGAGAGAGAGGAGAGAGAGAAAGAAAAAGAAAAAGAGAGGGAAGGAGAGAGAGAGAGAGAGAGAGAGGAAAGAAAAAGAAAATATGAGAGATAAATGATAAATAGGAAAGTAGATAAAAGAGAGAGAGAGTGATAAAGAGAGAGTGAAGAAAAATAAGAAGCGACAACATCACGCTTACGTAGAGCTTCGGTCACGTGCTACCTTGCCTGCGATGTACGTCATCGTCCTCGTCGTCGTCATCATCATCAACATTATTACTGACGTCACCAGTGACGTCATCAATGGCGTAATTATCGTTGTCATTATTATCATCATCATCATCATCATCATCATCATCATCATCATCATCATCATCATCATCATCATCATCATCATCATCATCATCATCATCATCATCATCATCATCATCATCATCATCATCATCATCATCATCATCATCATCATCATCATCATCATCATCATCATCATCATCATCATTCCAATCATCACCACCATCATCATCATCATCACCACCACCACCCCCACAATCATCATCATCGTTAATAGCACCAAGCCTCTTATCAATTACGTCATCATCATTAACATCATCATTATTTCCGCAACGAATGAACCTTGAGAACATCTTCGATCTGACCTTGTCATAACCACATAACCACTACTACTATAATCATTACCATCATTACCGTCACCATTATCATCATCATCGTCGTCGTCCTCCTCCTCCTCATCATCATCGTCGTCCTCCTCCTCATCATCATCATTGTCGTCACCATTATCATCATTATCATTGGTTTTTCTTCGCTTTTTTCTTGATTCATCAGCATTCTCTAGTCAGTGTGTGAATGATGATCAACAAAATGTTTGAATGAAAGAAAGAGAAAAAGAATGAATGAATGAATGATTGAATGTATGTATGTATGAATGAATGTATGAATGAACGAATGAACGAACGAACAAACGAACGAACGAATGAACAAACAAATATCCAACGAACAATTTAATTCATTCATTCGTTTCATTATTCAGTCATTCTTATCGCAACTTCATTTTCATTCATTCATTGTTTTTTTTTCTTTATTTCAATCTTTAATTTACTACCAAATCATTCATTCACTCATTCATTCACTCATTCATTCATTTTTTCATCCATCCATCCGTCTCGTGGTCATCAGACTTTCATTAAACTTAACTTGAATTTCACAAAATGCATTCAAACACATTAATATAAATTAAATTGTTCGTTGTGTTTGTGTATGTGTGCGTTTATGAATGTGTATACATTTGTATATGTATAAATGTATGTATGTATGTATGGGGATATGTGGGTATATGTGTGTGTGTGTGTGCTTCTATGCACTGTTTATACACATACCAACTTATGTATAAAAACCACACAGACACAAGCAAAGACGATAACACAACACACATACAAATACACACATACAAACAACGCAACAACACACGCAAACAAACAAACTGACAAACACAAACACACACACACACAGACAAACACAAACACACTGACAGAAAAAAATTTGGCCCGTTTAAACTCTACGAAAACAAATGGTTTTTAAATACATTTTATCGTCAGGTTAACTAGCTATGAAGTGATCAAATACATTCATTAGGAGGCGAGTGGCTGAGAACGTTGTAGTAGTTGCAGTAGTAGTAGTAGTTGAGTAGTAGTAGTAGCAGCAGCAGTAGTTGTTTTAGTAGTAGTATGAGTTGTGGTAGTAGTAGTGTTAGTAATAATATTATTAGTAGTTGAGAGTAGTAGTGGTAGTAGTAGTGGTAGTAGTAGTAGTAGTAGTAGTAGTAGTAGTAGTAGTAGCAGTAATAGTAGTAGTAGTAGTAGTAGTAGTAGTAGTAGCAGTAGCAGTAGTAGTAGTAGTAGTAGTAGTAGTAGTAGTAGTAGTAGTAGTAGTAGCACCTCTTATGGGTCATGAGTGATAATAAAAAAGTTGCAGATGATGAACAATGAAGCTAGCGATGAAAATAATGGTGGTGGAGTTATGATGATGACGGTGATGCAATTGGCGGTATCAATACCGGAAGTGATGCTATCAATGCCGGAAGTGATGATATCAATACCGGAAAAGATGGTGATACCAATACCGGAAATAAAAGATGATATCAATGCCGGAAGTGATCATATCAATACCAGAAATGATGATACCAATACCGGAAGTGATGGTATCAATACCAGAAATGATGATACCAATACCGGAAGTGAGGACAAGTGATGTCGGAAGTGATGGTAACGATGATGGCGGCCATTTTAAGGTTGGATGATTTCGCTGAATGGGGCAGCGTGCCTTTGATTAATGATCTTTTTTAAGATTTAATTGGGCTAGAGACCGCAGTTTGTATAAATCATTCCGACTTTGGTCATTATTATATTACGGAGGAAAAATTTCTTGTGAGATTTGTTGTTGCTGTTGTTAATTATAATGACAATTGTTGTTAATTATAATGATAATTGTTATTATTATTATTGTTGTTGTTGTTGTTAATATTATTGTTATTGTTGTTAATATTGTTACTCTTATCATAACTCTCTGATATATCGTTACGTTATTGTTGTCGGGATAATTTTGGTCCTGGATTTGTTGTTGTGGTTGTTGATTGTTATTATTATTATTATCGTTATTATTATTATTAACATTTATTACTACTACTACTACCACTATTACTACTACTACTACTACTACTACTAATACTATTACTACTACTACTACTACTACTGCTGCTGCTACTACTTCTACTACTACTACCACTACTACTACTACTATTACTACTACTACTGCTGCTGCTGCTACTACTACTACTACTGCTGCTGCTACTACTACTACTACTACTACTACCACTACTGCTGCTGCTACTACTACTACTACTACTACTACTACAAAACAGGATAGACATTAATTTAAATTTAAATGTTAAATTGAATTTTTTTTTCATAAATAAAGTTTTTCACCAGATTTGACTTTAAATTAATTTCGCTGTGATAAATATTTTTTTTTTATGTTTAAAACTTTATTTATAATTATCAGAAAAAAAATAAATAAACAAACTAAATAAGTTTCAATTTACCAGAAAAATTAATGAATAAACAAATGAACAATTATTATTTTAAACTTTCTTCATTTTATTTTAACTTATATGGGCTTCTCCAGTCGAAATTTAGCAGCATACTAGCCAACAACTGGACAGTTTGCAGGGAAGAGAAATCGCGGCCAACAACAAGTAACATTCGGAAAGTCGTTGTCGGTCACTTGTTGAATATCACCACATTTCAACTGCTACAAAGTGTTAAAGATCGGGTTTTGTGGTTGTCGATGGTTGCCAATGTCCTGAAAAGATGAGGTACGAGAAAGTAAGAGAGAACTTGCCAAAAATTATTTTGAAAAAAATGGGTGTTAAATACTTATACATTCATTTGTTCATTCATTCGTTCGTTTGTTCGTTCGTTTGTTCGTTTGTTCGTTCGTTAAACCAAACAAAAAACAAAAATAAATAAATGAAAATAAGATAAAATAAATAGAAATAAGCCGGAAATAAAACTTTCCCGCCATTTATATCGCAATTTTAGCATCTAGATTATGGCACGCCGCGAACACATCATTCCTGTTGAAAAAAAAACTATTTGTACACCTATTCTAGATGAAGTAGTAATAGTAGTAGTAGTAGTAGTAGTAGTAGTAGTAGTAGTAGTAGTAATAATAATAATAATAATAATAATAATAAAAAGAAGAAGAAGAAGAAGAGGAAGAAGAAGAAGAATAAAATTATTTGGACACCTATTCTATATGTAGTAGTAGTAGTAGCAGCAACAGCAGCAGTAGTAGTAGTAGTAGTAGTGGTGGTTGTGGTGGTGGTAGTAGTAGTAGTAATAATAATAATAATTATAAGAAGAAGAAGAAGAAGAAAAATATTTGTACACTGATTCTAAATCTTTGTAATGATAACAAAAAATTAATAAAACTAGTAAAAGTAGTACAGTAGTAGTGATAGTTCTAGTTACTTGTGTGGCTTAAGCAGTAGCAATAGCAACAGCCGCCGCAATGGTAGTTTTTTGTAGTAGTAGCTGTAGTAACTTAAGGAGTTCAAATAGTAGCAGTAGTAGTAGTAGAAGAAGTAGTAGAAGTATTAGTTGTAGCAGTAGCAGTAGCAGTAGTAGCATCACTCATTTTCATTATTAAGAGAATGAAAAAAATGTCTGAAGACGTATAGCCTTATAACAATATATCAGTATTGGAAAAACAATGGAAGATAAATGATTGAAGGAATGATTGAATGAAGGTATGAATGAACAGACGCATGAATAAGCGAATGAACGAATGAATGAATGAACGAACGAGTGAAAAAAAGAATAAAAAAATTGATGGAAAATTAGATTGGATTAATTAACTAACTAACTATAATTAAACAGAATTATTGTTATAAACTATGAAAACATACAACAATCCATTGAAAAAACTTGGCAAAAAAATTAATTATCACACACGTAAGAATTGAACTATACGTTGAAAAAACTTGGCAATAAAATTAATTATCACACAGGTAAGAATTGAGCTATACAATGAAAGAACTTCGCAATAAAATTCACACACGTAGGAATTGAACTATACCCCTTCAAGCGTCATAAGGATCCTCTCGTTTCATTTCAATCAGTGGCACACACAAGAACAAATTTTGCTAGGCCTGATTGAGACAACATCGAGAAGAAAACCCCCATAATAAACTTTTGAAAATTTCCGCCTATGAAACTGATTTCAACTGCTAAAAATGCCATTATTCTTCGAAATTTTTTGTATGACATGCATTAGACGGGTAGTTTGGAAAAGATTAACTTTAAAATATAATGAAAATGACGTAAGTTTAACATGAAGTCAATTGCACACGCACACACGCACACGTACACACACACACACACAATTTTTTTTAAGTAGTTGTGTAGCAGTAGTAGTTGTGGTGGTCAGTTTTTACACAGCCTTCTCTATCATTGATCCTTTTCCACTTTTATGTGGAATTATGTTTTTTTGATACATAGTAATTTTTAATAGTTAATTGAATAATGTATAATAAATTAATTAAATCCAGTATTTAATTGTTTATTTTACAAAAAAAAGTCTGAAAAACTTTCATGACGTTTCATAATCTTGTGGTTAAAAGTTAACTTAATCGTCACTAGCTTCAAACTCCTATTTATTTCTGCATTTGTTTCAAGTTTCCGACTAGAAAATGTTTTTTAAATGTTTAAAATTCCAGTCCGACTGTCATATTTTAATTATTAGTGATCAAAGTGATGAATTTGTTGATCAATTGAAAGAATTGTTAACGTCAAACTTATTCAGAGTCACTGTTGATGTTCAATATCTGGCAGATGTTGACAATGGTGAGATTTTTCCAACCTCCTAATTTTAGAATTTTCGCCACTACTTTTTAGTTTTTCTTTGATTAAATTTCAATAAAAACTATGTACTTTTATTAGTTTTTAATTATTTAAAAAAAATATAGTAATTGAATTGTCAGACTCTAACTTTTTGTCGCTTCATTTTTTTCTTGTTCAAAAGTTTATTTAACTTAAATATATTAATTAAATAAAAATAGTATTTAAGATATAATATTTTAATATATAGTGTTTAAATTTTAATTGAGAAATATCTAGTTGAAATTAAATAATGCTCAATTTTTTTGAATATATTAAATAAAAATATTATTTAAGATATAATATTTTAATATATAGTGTTTAAATTTTAATTGAAAAATATCTAGTTGAAATTAAATAATGTTCATTTTTTTTTAATTATATATCTGATTTGATCATTTATTAATTTTTATTGTTAAAAAAAGAGTTAGCACTCAGAAAGTAAAAAATTAGTGTAATTAGTAAAATGATAAAATATAGATAGATTTTTTAATTAAAATTAAACCATGTAAAATATTAAATATAGAATTTTATGTATAATTTTCCTATTTTAAGTTGACAAATCAAAAGAATATACTTCCTGCTTTGTCCTACTCTTCAATCAATCAACACAGACTGATGGCTTTTCAAAGTTGTTGAAAATTTTGAGTCCTGGGGCCAGGCTTCAGTTGATTAGTACAGTACTGTCTAGACTAGATGATTTTAAAAGTTCGTTGAAACTGTCTGGCTTTGTGGACCTGAAAGCCGATGATGTAGATAGTTTTGTTTAATTGTTAATTTTTATTTTACACACACACACACACACACACACACACACACACGCACACTTGTACTTACAAATACTCATATATACAGTTTTTGATATGAAGAATTTATTACAAAATAATTATTTCAATTAATTTTCTTTTTAAAAGGTATCATTTTACAAAATTGTTTTATCAATTTGTATTTATTGCACAATAATAATTTAAATTTATTTCTTTTAATTTATCATTTTCAAACTTATTCAAGAATTTTAAAAAAATCTAACATACATACTCACCTATGTATACACAGACTTTCTCCATTTAAATAATAATTTAAATAAAATGAAAATAATATTAATTTGAATAATAATTTGAATAATAATAATTTAGTTAATAATTTTAATATTAATAATAATAAAATAATAGACGCCATGCAGCACGAGATCACTCATAAATAAAGATTCGATAAAAAATTTGGATGTCATACATGTCGTAGCTGAGAAACCAATGTACGAAGTTGGCGACAGGGTACCTATAAATCTCAATGGTAGGTTGTTAGTATTTTTTTTAATTTATTTCTTTCATTCTTTCATTCATTCATTCATTCATTCATTCATTCATTCATCCAATCATTCAATCATTCATTCATTCATTCATTCATCCAATCATTCAATCAATCATTCAATCAATCATCCATTCACTCAGTCACCCATTCAACCTGTTATAATATAACAATTCTTTTAAAAATTAATTGATTTATTGATCACAATTGATTTTTTTTGCAGCTCAGCCATCCTCGGAGATATGGATGTTATCGGCAGCGGATATGATGGATGACCATGATCTCCTGGACTCTGATGATATTCTAACCGAAGAAGACCTGCTAAAACCTGATCCCAACACTTTGAAAGGTGCTTTTCATTCGTTCTGTCTGTCATTCATTCTTTCATTCATTCGTTCGTTTATTCATTCATTCATTCCTATAGTCATTTATTCATTCGTTCATTCATTCTTTCATTCATTCATTCTTTTATTCATTCATTCTTTTATTCATTCATTCATTCTTTTATTCATTCATTCATTCATTCATTCATTCATTCATTCATTCATTCATTCATTCATTCATTCATTCATTCATTCATTCATTCATTCTTTCATTCATTCATCCAATCATTCATTCATCCAATCATTCATTCATCCAATCATTCATTCATCCAATCATTCATTCATTCAGCCAGAAAGAACTTGCAAATTTATTTATGATCTAAGCAGCAATGCTTCGCATGGTATTAACTGCATATAAAGAATTATCTTTAAGGAGGATCATTGATAATATATAGAACG